TTCAATAGCCATTCTTCACTGGAGAAGTCCCTTCACAGTCATTCACACTTTTCCCGATTTGTATTCTAAGTAGCTTGCGGATCTTTTGTATTCCAGGCCGATAGCAATCTGAGTCCTGAACCTGGTTTGGGGGGAGCTGTATCTTCCTGGAGCCAAAGTAAATGTCTTTCACATCTTGGCGTGTGAAACCTGTTGTAATACAACCAAACCATATGTGCAAATTAAGTCAAGAAATGATAGAAAAAAAGAATTGTAAAATTGCGTTTTTAAGGCCAAGCAAGGGTAGAAATCTAATTTAATATTCTTTTTTTCTTTTAATTCTACTTAATACCAAGATGAAAAAAATCCAGTGAAGCTCTTCAATCACCCGATATGAGAAAAGTAACAAACATTACTTTCTGTCTCTGAGCCATCTTTGACCTTACAACCGAAATGAAAAACATTACATTTCAAACCAGTCTTTTGGGGCTTCTCTCTATTTTCAAATAGCACCAGAAAAGGGACCCTTCAGTAATGAAAGTGATGTGGGGAATGTAAATAATAAAATGCTGTATGCATTTTTGATAAAATGCCAGGATTCCGCTTGCAGACAGATAATAGTAACTGCCTGCTTCTGAAGAGTCCTGATAAGAGCATCATACCCATACAGAGGCCTTTCTATGACAGAGTTTCTTCTCTGTGGGAGTGCAGCTGCAGGCAGATTTGAAGGACGGCATGTTAAGGATTAATCCAACTACGTTTATAAGCCTGAGCAGACTAATTTCTTCTCACAATGTCCTGCAGAGTCTGAGTTATATATCTGGGATATGTCTAAAGCTATGCACAATGTGAAAAGTCATAGATGCCTGTTTCCATTTTAGATCACAAAAAATCTGATTTTCATTCATTCTTGGTAATCTATGCAGTGTTTGTAGAACTGTTTAATGAACGTTTTACAACAACCTAAATAGCTCAGTGTTAAAGTAACACTGTTAGCACTCAGCTTGTCTTTAGTGTTACTCAGAGAACACATTGTCTTTTACAAGGTTATTAGAAATAGATTCAATGTAGAGTCAAGTGGCACTGTTAAAATCCCTCAAAAACAATATTTTTTCTAATGTGAATAGAATTAGGACAAAAATAAGGACTTCCTTAAGCAGAAGATAGTGAAACTGTAACAGCTCTGAATGTCCTTTTTGCCATTTTGCCTCCTCTTGCTTTTGTTTGTATCCTTATGCTTATTCATATTTGTTGTTAAGGCACAGTATTTCAAGTTTTTAAACCCTTATCTCTTAACACGAGTATTATAAATCATATAATTTTGTGAAAAATATGTTTTATATAATTTTATTGTTCTTTAGTGCTGTAAAACTTTGTTTGGCAGATTTGTTTGCATTTATTTTTTTATTCAGTATCCCACTTGAGCAGATTGATTCATGACACATGACAGATTGTGACCCCTAATTAAGCCATATGGCTAAATGATTTCCATATTAATATTATTTGTATCTTGCATTCAGTTATTATGTTAGATAAAAATAATATTTACCAGCAGAAAGAAACTATTTGTGTAGGTAAATGGTAAATTGTCCCAGATGGTGAGAAACCAGTAAACATATGGGTAAAGAAACAACTAAAATTATATTATAAAGTGGCAGGGCCAATTTTAATAACACAAAAAAAGTGTATCATGTGTGTCTCAGAATTTCACTAAAGTATGTTGTGTATGTGAAAACAGAGATCTTCCTTGCAAAACTCATCACTGATTTAAAATGTGATAAATATACAAATAAAGAGGTGATTGCTGATTTATTTTTTTCTTTACATATTTGTGTAGGCTAAATTTGCATGCAACCTCAGCCACATAAAACAAACTACTGACACAATTGTGGTTCCTAAAGGCAGGAGTCAGATGCTCTCTTTATGTTTCTTCTCTTACTTGTGTTCATGGACTTAGAAACTGAACTGAAGATGTTTCTGATTTTGATGCTACACACAATCGAAAACGCAGGCAGGAGGCAGAAAAGATATTTCCAACCCGAAGGCTTTCATGTCAAAAAAATACCAAGAACACTCCGGAAACAGAAAAAAGGAAAGGTATTAAAAAAAAAAAAAAAAAAAAAAGGAAGCTTAGCAAGACATGGGTTCATAGTAATAGGAGAATCTGAAAGGGACACAGAAGAACATATATATTCATGAGGTATGTAAGTGAATGTGGAGCAGTGTGGACTAAGGTATTAAGGCACAATATTTAGAGTATACCTCCAGGACAAGACAATGTAAAATCATTCAACAAAATAGTAACATGGAAACACAGCAATCATTGAAATTGCAACTAAACTCAAGAAAGCACCTAAGAAACACAGAACAGAAAACAAAATCTAAGTGGAAATGATAATGACCTTACTGTGGTAGTGCTTCAAAAACTAGGTATTTACCAAGCTGCTTCTTGCAATAAAAAAAAACAAAAAAGAAAAACGACACCGCTGATCAACAGAAAGTGAAAAAACTTAATAAACAAAGGGGATTTTGGATGCACTGTAACGAGAGAAACAGAAGGTGTTGCAGCTTTTATCAATCATATGATGAAGAAGCCTGTCAGAGGTCACTGTGATCCAGAGTCACGTTATTTGCGTCCTTTTTTGACAAATCGACAGTTCTTAATGTCCAGCACTTCTGAGGAAAATAGCAAAACAGAGACGCAAGAGTTTTATCTAATCTTTAAATGCTAGATGCAAATTAAAAGTCTCATTAAAAATATAAACTTTATCGCTTTAACCTCATCATTTTATCTCTGAAATTCACCCTGCCAAGCACTAAAGACTGTGGCTTTCGCTTTATTACTGAACTGTGTGGTACTTTCTAGATCTGTTCACACGGCTAAACCTCCCGCCAACCACTTATTTGTGGTATACGTTGTCAGCACTTTGCTGTCCAAAATGAAAAAAGTCATTATCTATCTCTGATACATTGATTTCTCCATATCAGAGGAATCAGTGGTGCAGATCAAACTCTCATATTTCAAAGACTCTAGTGGGGTATTCAATTTCAAACAATCGTCAGCCCCCACGTGTCAGATAGAGTTTTATGTGGTCTGGCTGTGCCACCACTAGTCTAGCTGCAGCCTTCAGAGCATGAAAGCTCAGTACATCCAGTCTTCAGAGCAGTTTTTGATAGAAACTTCAACATTACTGGAAGTGTGGCTCTTTTCAAATCCTCTGGGGACTCAGACATAACAGCTATTGAGAAATGACAGGAAGAGGGGATCCTCCTGTGATGAAAACTGTCAGCAGACAAGGCTAAGAAATGGTTTCTTGAGCGGGAATGTACATTTGAAAAGACCCCAAAAACGATCATATCAGCCGTCACTTGAGGCAGAGGTACAGGAAGGAAATGCATCTGCGAAAACCTCCAGAGATGAAGCCTGAGAAGGATTACATGTTTTTCAGGTCCTGCAATTTGCATAAAGCTTTGATAACGTGCTATATTGTTTGAATTCAATGCTTATGAAATCCTCAATATGGAAATTTTTAAACTGGGATGAAATGTGAAAGATTTTTTTCAAGTAATAAAGAAATGAAACATTGGAAATCTGTCCGACTGCAAAAACAAGAAAGAAATGTTGAAAAATAGCAACTTGCCCTCAGAGGATTACTGCATCAGGCCAAACACTGGCTCAAATCATAGCCATCAATTTTACTGGGACACATGCTCCTGATATACAGGGAAATACAGAGGAAAAGGAACTTAAATAGTACTTTTACCAAACTAGTCTGCATTATTAAGCCCATTCTGATTGCATCATTTATATCATTGATTATATCTAGCTTTATTGTAATTACATGGGATTCCCCCGGAGGAGCTGGCCCAAGGTGTTGGGTGACCTGACCCCGGATAACGGAGGAAGATAGATAGATAGATAGATAGATAGATAGATAGATAGATAGATAGATAGATAGATAGATAGA